ACTATGGTTCCATTTATAAATTCTGTCAAATCGCCAGTCTTGTTGAAATATTTGTGGTTGTGAACAAAACTGATAAATGGGCGGACAATTGTAACTTTTATATAATATAACTTGTGTACATAATGCTTGAAAACTGATACCTCATCAATAATGTCGGCCATCCGGTAAAAATTCGATGCGTCCGACTTAAAGCATTTTTAGGTAAGAAATGTTTCGATTCAAATTAAAAATTAATCAAAGCTTTGATTTGAACAAACTAACAGTCAAACTGACTGACATGACCAGATAGACCCAATGTCACCAAATTTGATCTAATTCAAGTTAAGATAAGCACAATTAAAGTTGTCAAACCACTTTTGGAGGCACTAAGAGGTTAATTGAAGGGTGAAATAGATTGCAAATCTGACAAGCTTAAAGTCTTAACAAGCGTCCCAATGAGATGAATCCAACAAGACTAAGATCACCCAATTCTGACATCATTAAGGAGTTTAAGTGTCCTTAAAACTTCATTCGATCAAGAGAATTGTTCTAGGCCGTCCGATGGAGTTGCCTGAATTTCTGTCTTATTTATAGAGGATGACACGATAATCTATAAATTGAGCCATCCTCTCTTTAAGAAGGGAGACCAAAATACCAAGAGCTAAGCCTAGAGCTAGATCAAGAAAAAAAATCAGCCAATTTTTAGTGTTGTTCTGGATTGAAGACCCAATGATCTTCCTCTATGGCTGCGAACTATTATCTACCACTGCTCGACAGTCGTTGTCAACAAATGCTGGTCGCCCCCTGCTTGTGGCCAATGGTAAATCCTGCGGAGTGACGATGTTCTTTGAACGAAATGCCTTGTGGAGTAACGAAGCAACTCAAAAACCCATGTAATGCCTTGGATACCGTGCATCGGCGTACTCTAAAGTCGGTGTACCAAAGTTTCGGTGATGTGGTAACAACTCCCAACCATTATACAAAAAATCCTTTTGCATACAGACACTATACTTTGAGAAACTTTATAACTCTTTCCAGCATGTGGAACAAGAGTCTATACTTGTACTCACTAGTTTAAAGTGGGTTATTTTAACAGGGATAAACCCTTTAGTTGCTTACTTTTTCAAGTTTTTTCACGTAAGAATTTATGACGTATCTATTAGTTATTTTTGTGTGTGCAACGCTAAGACACTAAATAATAAATATAGCACCAAAATTAAAAAGAAAAAAAAAAGTACAATTGATTAAAATAGAAATAATATGATATCTTGAGTGGTCCCTCCAAAAATATAGCAGTGGTAGAATCATTAAGAGGCTATTTGACTCCCTCTAATTAGGTTCCAAGAAAAGAAACATACATTAACCTTATATTTTTATCAAAATTTTTTCCAGAAGATGATGAAAAGTACAAGGACTTTGTTTATCCTTAATTTACAATTTTGCCCAATTTTCACTAGAATGTTGCTTTAATGCTAATTAAATCACTGACCCATTTTTCTCCTACCTTTTTTTTATATTAATGTAATAATAATAATAATAAATTAAATCACTGACCCATTTTTCTCCTACCTTTTTTTTATATTAATGTAATAATAATAATAATAAATTAAATCACTGACCCATTTTTCTCCTACCTTTTTTTTATATTAATGTAATAATAATAATAATAAATCTGTGATTAGAAAGTAAAAGTAACATCAAAGAGAAGTATTAATTCGGTACTCACGCTTTAGTTGCGGCGTAGACGGCGTAGAACGGAAACGACGGCACCGCTACCGACGAAGCCGATCGGACAATCACCACCG